CTTGTGAAACCTGCTTTGTTAAGAATGCTCTCAATAAAGTGATAAAGGTCCAAGCAGGCAATGAGTTTGTTTCCCAAAGTTTTGTAGCCCTTTAGGTAACAGACCTTGACTCAGAATAAGCCCTCAGAGTTCTTTGTATGTTATCTATTGTTTGATTCTTACTAACAACAATTAATGAGTTTTTACCTGTATTCCTGTGCAAAATGGACCTAATAAAAGCCCACTGAGGAAAAGGCTCTGGGCTCTTCTCCTTTCACAGATCGGCCACCTTTCCTCCAGAAGCAGATCATGTCTTGGTAGACTTATTCTCATCTGTGGCAGCTGGGGGGGGCTGCAGTTGGAGTCCCCCCACAGTCCAGGAGATTTTTAAACAAATTGTGCTGGAGAAGCTGGGCATCTACAGGCAAAAAAGCATACCCTGATATGATACTCTACACCTTATATAAGAATGAATACAAAATAAATTATGGGCTTTAAATGTTAGATGCAAAAGTATAAAACTTCTGGAAAAAAATACAAAATTTTCAGAATCTAGAGAATTTTTTAGCAAAAGCTAAAAACATATACAAAGAAATATACTGAATAAAAATAATATAAAAATAATATACAAAGGAATACATTGATAAATTAGACTTTATTAAAATTAAAATATTCAATTAAGAGGATTAAAAACAGGCTACAGTGTGGAGGAAATATTTTCAAACAAAAAATTCAACATATTCAATAGTATGTAGACAATATAAAGAGCTCTCAAAGTTCAACTAAATAAAAAAATATTCAATTAGGAAATGAACAAAATAAGTGAAGTGATGTTTCATTGAAGGATATATAAATGACATTTTAAAAGATTGCAATATAATTAGCCATTAGGAAAATGACAAAGTCACAATAATATCAGTACACATATTTCAGAATGCTTAAAATTAAAAAAAAAGTGTAACACCAAATGCTGATAAGGATTCAGAGAAACTGAATTACTAATACATCACTACTGGGAACGGAAAATGGAACTGCCACTCTAGAAAACAGTTTGACAGGTTTCTATAAAACTAATCATGCAAGTGCATTGCTGCACATCGACCCTAGAAAAATTTAAAACTTCACTGATGCAAAAACCCATACATCAATATTTATAGCAACTTTAGTCATAACAGCTCCAAATAGAAACAGTTTATATGTCCTTTACTGGGTAAGTAGTTAAACCAGCGATTTTCAACCCATGTGCTATAAGAATTTTAAAACATGGAGTACCTGACTATTTAGTCAGGGCATTGACCTCTTTTCTCTTAGATTATAAAATAAAAAAATGACAACAACCAAATTGTTTTGTTAGATCATCAAAAAAAATTTTAGTGTGCTACAGAATTTTAATAATTAATTTATGTGTGTCATGAGATACTAAAGGTTAAAGGTCACTGAGTTAAATGAACTGTTATGTATCCACACATGAAATACTACTTAGCAATAAAGCAGAGCAAAATATCGATGCACACAACAGTGAGGATGAATCTCTAAAGAATTATACTGAGTGACAAAAAGCCAATTCCCCACATTTTCATAGTGTATGATTCTATTTCTATAACATTCTTAAAATGACCAAAGTATAGAAGTGGAAAATAGATTAGGGGTTGCAATGGTTGAAGATAGGGTGGGGCAGGAATGAAATGAATTTGATATAAAAGAGCAACATGAGGGATCCTTGAAGGATGGAAATGTTCTGCATTTTAGCTATCAATTTTAATATCCTGATTATGATATTGTACTATAGTTTTGCAAAATGTTATTATTGGGGCAATTGGGTAATCTGTACATGGGCTTTCTCTATAGTATTTCTTACACCTATATGCAAATCTATGTATCAAAAAAAAAGAGCACATTTATTATGCATTTCTTTAACTCAAGGAAATAAATCATACAAACTAAAGTTGGGGTTCTTGGGTTCCCCAAGACAGTCAAGAGGAATTCCAATGTAGTTTTCAGATAGGTTTTATTAAGTGTATGCCCAAGCAGAGGGGAGGTATACAGACAAAGGTAGGTCCTCTGAGCTGTCTGGGGGGCTGCTTTGTTTGGCAGCTTTTGTAAGCTAGGACAAAGTGGGCTTGCACTCAAAGACAGGCTTTTTTAAAAAAGGTGGGCTATGGATTTTTCCATGTTAGTATGGAAAAAGCAAGGAGTTCGAAGGGATATAAAATTTTACATTTTGTTTTTGAACAGGGAATGGAGGGGTGATGACATTCTTGCAGTGAGCTTCTCCTTCTGGCCATCTGGTCTTAACTCGGCTTCCTGGATACCCAGTACTTTTCCATTCCTGGCTCAATTCCCTACACTGTCCTCATTTAGTGAGGAATTGACCTTTCTGGCATTTTCCAAATCTTTTCTTTTTATTATTATACACACACACACACACACACACACACATACACACATTTAAAATATCATACTAGTTTAGAACTTCCAGCCAAGATGGAGGTATAGGTAGACACACTGCCTCCTCACGCAACCAAAATAAGGGCAACAAAAATTTAGAAATGAAAAAAAACACAACTAGTACTGACAAAAAATTTAACTGTATGGAAGTCCAAAAACCAAGGAGTTAAAGTAGACACATTCATCCAGATCTGTAGGAGGGGCGGAGTTGGGCTGCTGGGTGGAGAGGGTTAGCACCAAAAAAAGTGGCTGGTGAATGTAGGCGCAAGGCAGCAACTGGTGGTCCTGGTGCATAGGTGGTGGCTGTTGGACCCAGCAATCCTACATTCGCATGCAGATAAACCAGGCGAAACTGGGGAGCAAGACAGACGGTGCAACCCAGGGTTCCAGTGTAAGGAAATAAAGCCTCAAAACACCAATTGAAAACACCTGTGGGGATTGAGGCAGTGGGAGAAACTCCCAGCCTCACAGGAGAGTTCACTGGAGAGACTCACAGGATCCTAGAACATACACAAACCCACCAACTTCAGAATGAGCATCAGAAGGGCCAAATTTGCTTGGGGGAAGTGGCAGAAGGGACTAAAATCCAGCAGAAAGTAGAGCAAGTGCCATTGTTCCTTCTCTGACCCCTGCCCCACAAATAGCGTCACAACCCAGCAACTGAGTGGCCCTGCCCAGGTGAACACCTAAGTCTCCACCTCTCACTACATAACAGGTGTGTCAAGATAAAAAAAAATGGCTCAAATGTAAGAAGAGATCAAAGTTCCAGGACGAATAACACTAAGTAACAAAGAGATAGCCAACCTACCAGATGCATAGTTCAAAGCACTGGTGATCAGGATGCTCTCAGAATTTGTTGAATTTTGTTGCAAATTAGATAAAAAAACAAAGGCTATGCTAGATGAAATGAAGGAAAAGGTACAGGCAATCCATAGTGATGGGAAGGAAACTGGGACTCAAATCAATGGAGTGAACCAGAAGGAAGAAAGAAACCAAAAAGAAAAGGATGAAGAAACAAGAATTCAAAAAATTGAGGAGCAGCTTAAAAACCTCAAAGACAACTTTAAACATTCCAACATCTGAATCACAGGGGTGCCAGGAGAACAGGAAGGGTAAAAAATGGAAAACTTATTAAAAAACATAATGAAGGGGAACTTCCCCAATCTGGCAAAGGAAATTGACTCTCAGGAATTTCAGGAAGCTCAGAGTTCCAAAGAAGTTAGATCCAAGAAGGAACACACCAAGGCACATAGTAATTACATTACCCAAGATTAAAGATGAGGAGAGAATCCTAGAAGCAGCAAGAGATAAGGAGACAGTTACCTACAAAGGAGTTCCCATCAGACTGTCAGCTGACCTCTCAAAAGAGACCTTGCAGGCAAGAAAGGGCTGGAAAGAAGTATTCCAAGTCATGAAAGGCAAGGACCTGCATTCAAGATTGCTCTATCCAGCAAAGCTTTCATTTAGAATGAAAGGGCAGATAAAGTGCTTCTCAGATAAGGTCAAGTTAAAGGAGTTCATCATCACTGAGCCCTTATTATATGAAGTCTTAAAGGGACTTATCTAAGAAAAAGAAGATAAAAAACATGTACAGTAAAATGACAGCAAACTCACAATTATTAACAACCACATCTAAAAAAAAAGCAAACTGAGCAAACAACTAGAACAGGAACAGAACCACAGAAATAGAGATCACATGAAGAGTTATCAACAGGGAAGTGGGAGGAGGAGAGAGGGGGGAAAGGTACAGAGAATAAGTAGCATAGATGGTAGGTAGACAATAGACAGGGGGAGGGCAAGAATAGTATGGGAAATATAGAAGCTAAAGAACTTATAAGTGTGACACATGGACATGAACAAAAGTAAGGGAATGTCAGTGGTAGAAGGTGTGCAGGGTGGTGGGGAGTGGAGGGAAATTGGGATGACTGTAATGGCATAATCAGTAAAATACTTTTTAAAGGGAAATTGATAGTTATTTACTAAAGAGGATTAAAGAAAATAAATGTATTATTTATGGGTCAAAGGGACTCTTGTGGTATAATACAATAAATGGAAATATTTATGAACTAATTAACTAGCTAACTAATGAACCAAAAGTGTTTGCTATGTATATTTTGTAACATGAATATATGATCCAGCTTTCAACTGTTTCAGTCCTCAGTTGGCACGATGTTCACTATTGTAGTACAATTAGTGGCTACAATGCTTAACGAAATGTCAATCATAACCTGTAGATTATTTTGATTATATTCTTGATGTAAACGGGCATATGCATTGACTGTAGAGATATTTAATGTGAGTTGTATGGTTTGCAACTTGAAATTATTTTTATAGAAAAAGCATTCTTCTTACTACTTGTCAATTTGCATTAAGTGGATTTATTCCTACATGGACTACCCCCCAAAATAAATAAAATAAAGTATCATACTATGTTAAATGTTTCTCAAAAAATAGTTCAGTGGCAGTAAACTCTTTCACAGTATTATGCAACCATCACTAACATCCACCTTCCAAACCTTTTCATTATTTCAGATGGAAACTCCATACGCATTTAACAAAAAGTCCCCATTCTCCAAAATATGAGATGCTTCAACAAATTTTATGTCATCCTGTGCAAGGGCCACACTAATCTCTGTGTTGTTCCAATTTTAGCATGAGTGCTACTGAAGTGAGCATGTAAAGCCTTTCTTTTAGTTGGTTATTTTTTCTACCTGCACGTGATAATACTGGGGTGATAACTCAAAGATGTCATTCCTAGCAGCCCTAAGATTTGTGTAACACACTATGGTTAGCAGAGTCCATTGTTTGAGCTGATATTTTTTGCCTTGTGATGATTTCAGGATTATTTGGAAGATTATTTGTAAGCAAATAGATTCAATTTGGAAGCATCCACTTCCCCTCTCCTCTTTCTGTGTCTGCTAATTGAGACATACTGTTGGGTAACCAGGATGCTCATTTTACTTACCCTACATTTTGTGTGCTTGTGTATCACATGGACTCAAATAAATTCTGAGGTAAACAATATTACTTTAATAATTAAAAAATAAGCTATTTTAATAAATTATTTTTGCTAATTTTTATTTCTTTTAAAAAAATACATAGACTTCTAAACTGTTTGTTTCTAAAGATTTTTTCTATGCATACTTCTTTTCAAAGTACCTTGAATTGTGGAAATATTTAGTAGATTGTATTCTACTCAATTCCTCCAATTAAGGTTGAGATGTATTTTCTAAAACTTGTGTCGGAAACTACCAAAAACTACTCTGATATTGAAATATTTTGAATGATTAATATTTTACCTTGCTGTAAATTTTATTTTTTAAATAGACTTTATCTTTTGGAAGAATTTTGGATTTATAGAAAAATTAAGAAAATATTGTGGAGAATTTTCATATATTCTATACCTACTTGCCGTGGTTAAAATCTTATCTGGATGGCACATTTATTATAATTAATACACCAATATTGGTACATAGCTACTAAATTCATAGTTTATTCAACTTTCCTTAGTTTTTACTTAGTGTTCTTTTTCTGTTTGAGGATTCCATGGAGGATATCACACTACATTCAATTAGCAAGTCTTCTTTGGCTCCTCTTGGCTCAGATTTCTCTTGTATTTATTATCTTGACTGTTTTGAGAATAACTGGTCAAGTATTTGTGGGATGTCATGATGTTGAAATTTATATGATGTTTTCATTAAGACAGAAATCAAGTGTCATTTTCATTATGTAAGGAGTATCTGCTAAGTGTGTGGGAACTGAATAAAGGAGATGTTTTGGGGTGTGGGCTCAGGATTGTTTGGTTTACAAATCAAAGGTATGCTTTCCGAAAAGTTTTTTGCTATCTCTAGGAATTAGCTAAATTTGGGAGAGTAAGTTTTTCCCTGTTTACACAGGTCCCAAGTTGTCAAAGCATTTTAAAGTACAGAAACTAGGAAGTATTATTAATCTATAAAAACTGATCATTTTACTGCCTCCCTAGTTGTACTTTGTCCAGAATATCATAAAATTGGAATCATACAACATGTATTTTTTCAGATTGATTTCTTTTTCTTAGCAGCATGCATTTAAGATTCCTCTAAGTCTTCACAGCTGGTTTGTTTCAATTTGGTGAGTAACATTCTATTGTATGATGTATAATCCCACCATTTATTGATTCATTAATCTGCTGAAGGATATATTGGTTGCTTCCAGTTTGGGGCAATTAATGAATAAAGCTGTTTTAAACATCCATGTGCAGATTTTTGTGTGGACATATGTTTTCAAATCAACTGGATAAATATCTAGGAGTACACCTGCTGAATTATATGTTATGAGTATGTTTAACTTTATAAGAAGCTGCCAAAATGCCTTCTAAGGTGGTTGTGCTATTTCGTATTCCAGGAGTGAATAAAAATTTATGTTGTTCCAGATCCTCATAAGTTTTTGATGTTTTGGTTTTTTGGATTTTACCCATTTTAATAGGTTTATAGTGGCATCTTATTGTTTTAATTTGTAATACCAAATAAATATTGATGTTGAGAAATTTTCATATGCTTATTTTCCACCTGTATATCTCCCTTAGTAAGATGTCCGTTCAGACCTTTCACTCATTCCTTGAGTTGTTCACTTTCTTATTGTTAAATTTTCAGAGTTTCTTGTACATGTAGGTAAAAATAACTTATCAGTTATGTGGCTTGCAAATATTTTCCCCCAGTCTATGGCTTTTCTTATTTTGCCTGCCTCTTTCACTGATGAAAAGTTTTTAATTTTAATGAAGTTGAATTTAAGATATGAGTTTATCATATCTTTTATGAATTTTGCTTTTGCTATTACATCTAAAAGCTCATTGCTAAATCCAAATTCACATACTTTTCTCCAGTCTTTTTTCAGAAGTTTTATTTTTAAGTCTAACATCCATTTTTAGTTGATTTTTCTAAATCAACTAAAAGGAGTAAGATTGGAAAGGAGTAAGATTACTTTTTTGCATGTGAATGTCTAACTTTTTCAGTACCCCTAGTTGTAAAGATTATGCTTTCTTTATTGGTTTGCCTTTCCTCTTTTGTCAAAAAGATCAATTGACTATACAAGGGGGACCCCGAAACGCCTCAGAATTTATTTATAAAATATTGTGTATTTAATCTCAGCCACCTTCAAAGTATTTTCCATTTGATGCAATACACCTATCCCCTGCTCAAAACAGTTTGTGAACTCATCAATTTTGATGCGTTTTAGTACTTATGCCATTTTTTTGTTTTACCTTTTCCATACTGGCAAAAACTTTCCCTTTGAGGACTTTTTTTATTCAGGGAAACAAAAAAAGTCACTCAGGGTAAGATTAGGTAAATAGGGAGTATGGGCATGGGCATCATTCCACTTTTGGTTGAATACTGCTGAACACTGAGTGAGGTGTGGAAAGGTGAACTCATAAGTCATCTACTATGAAATGGGCAAATGTGTTGAAAGTATTCTCAAAAAATTTACCGAAGCTAAATGCAGCCTCTCATAACAATGCCAGCTGGTACACTGATACAGATGGGTTCCTACAATAGACACCTAGAAGGAGAAGCCTGTTTAAGAGGCCCACCCTCCAGAATATAATAACAATTTGGGGGGAGTCCCTCATACTTTTATTGATCTATTTCTGGGCTCTTTATTCTGTTCCATTAATATATGTGTCTATTCATTCACCAATATTGCATTGTCTTGATTACAGTAGCTTTATAAAAAACAGGTCTTTCAGAGGGTCCTAGCATTTAAATTTGTCAGAAAAAGGTCTAGAGAAGTGAGATTTTTGGTTTTTAATTAAGCTTCTGGTATACCTGGAATGAAAGCATCCATCAAACATATTACCCCCAAACCTATATTTTTCAGCTTATATTAACAAGTTGGTGTGGCAGAACTTCTAGATAAACAGCATATAAATACTTTATTAGCTTAGACAAAATATAACTATATATGTATTTATGTATACTTATATAATACATAGTATATATTCATCATATATTTATATATATTTATATTTATTTGTATACAAAAATGTTATATATATATATATATATATATATATATATATATATAGACACACACACACATGCACAGAAGACTGGCAACTAGAATATATAAATAACTCCTATAAATTTATATGAAAATTTAGGTAAACAAGTTTTAAAATAGATAAGGGATATGAATGGGCAATTTACAGAAGAAATGAAGATATACAAATAAATGAAACAATCCTTCACTAATGCCTCAGGAATCAAGATTTACAAATAAAACAACAATAGCATTTTACATGAATCAGATTCCCAGATTCACACAGATTAAAAAGCCTGATGACACCATGTGTTAGCTGGATTATGACACAATATAAAAATTTATGAACTTTTACCACCTGGTTTATTTGGTTTAGCATAATGCTTTTCAGTTTCGTCCATGCTGTCGTAAAGGGTAGGAGCTCCTTCTTTCTTTCTGCTGCATAGAATTCCATTGTGTAAATGTACCATAGTTTTTATTGCAGAATCAGTATGACCACTCTAGGGAGTATTTTTTAAATATTTGAACATATAATATATTTTAAAATATTTGAACATATAAAATATTTAAACATATTATGTATTTGTATTCCCTATGACACAGTTGCAATTTGACCTCAAAGTATATATCTAAGAGAATATGCTAAATAGAAACAGAAAAGATTGCTTAAAAATATAATTTTTTTTCTATTTTCTGTTCTATCACTTCTGGCTGATGTTACCTGGGGAGTCAAATGAAGTGGTTATTCCAATTCCCTCTCTTTTCCCAATACCAACCCTCCTTCTAGGCTTAAGTATCTGGACAGGCAAGACAGGAGCAGAGTAGTTGAATGAGCAAACACCTCAGCCAAACACGCATGTAGGCATTTTTTTGAAGTTTCATGTACTTGAAGTTTCTCTGTCAGCTACACTGAAGGAGAAAGTGGTAGACAACTTCAGAAGATACTTCAGAAATAATTCCTATTTTCTTGTTGCATACCATCTATATCATTTGGCAAGTTATGATAGAATTTTTATCTGTTAGCAAACAATTTTTATGATTATATTGAAAACTTCCATGGTACAGGGCACCATGGGGGAAAAAAAACAGATATTTTCATGCTGTATTTATGCTAAAGGGATTTATGGAGACAAATTAAACTTGAAAAAGAGATTTGGATTCATCATTCTTTGACTCAGAGACACATTTGAAAAATTCATGGTTTAGTGAAATGTCTGTACAGTGTTTAGAATCAGACATTTCTGGATATTTTAGTATTCTAGAAATTTAACTTTTCTGACATTCAATTTCTCTGTAAATAATATGGCCCCAAATAATGATCACTTTGTAGAGTTTTGTGAGGAATATATAAAATTGTAAATAAAAGGATTTAGCATCATGATTAACACAGAGTAAAAGCTTGATGATTGTTAATTTTCTGTTTTTCCAATTAGAATAATTTCAACATGCAAAGAGTTATATAACTAATAAAACAAACAGTTATTTAAAAATTATGGTATCTTGTCAAATTTACTTCAAATGAATTTTTTAAATCCTCACTTGAGAATATGTTTATTGATTTTTAGAAGGAGAAAAGAGAGAGAGGGTGAGGGAGAGAGAAACATCCGTATCTGCTGGTTGCCTCACACATGTGCCACCACCAGGGGACTGAGGATCTAACA